TAGTTCATTTATGTAAAGTGAGGATAGCAAAATAAAGTAAACTGTGATATATTATACCCAAAAATTCTTCATACAGTGGACTACCAGTAAAACTGATCAAAAATTTGGGTCCAAAAATTATTCAGACACTTTGACCTGACCATGTTTTGCGCAAGTGTTTTTTTTTATTGATAATGCGACCGTTTTAGGGATGGGCGTATCGATCCGAAGTATCGTTATATCGATACTGATGCGAGTATCGAAAGTATCGATATTTATTGTTTGAGTATCGATACTTTCGATACTCGCATCAGTATCGTAAACTCGCAAACATATATGTTTGAGTTATTTCTAAACAAATTGTGTAAACAAAAAACATATTTGAACCATGTGTAAACAAAAATATAACCTAATAAGTTACAATTAAGGCGTTTTGAATGTTAAAATGCCCATTTTACTCTTAGTAATTTAATAAATTTCATAATTTAAAAGTTTAGTTCAGAAGTATCGTATCGGTATCGATATCGACGATACTGCCTTGAAAAATATCGGTTTGGTATCAAAAACAAAATAAGTGGTATCGCCCATCCCTAGACCGTTTCACACCACAGACTGAACAAAATGAAGCATTGCTAAGGGTGGGCCAACAAAGTATTGACAGTTGTGTAAATATTGTCATACCATCAGCTGTCTGAATAATTTTTGGTTGATTGTAATCCATTACATACCTTTCTATTAAAGTGCTATGACATTATCAAGATGGATTTGTTCTGACACAGTCCTTGCCATATTTTATTACCATCTTCTAAACTATAGCGAATAAACTGTGATAATGTGAGGAATGTTGAAGGTGTCTGAATAAATGTTGTTTTGACTGTAAGTTGACAAAGGTCATCAGGAGGTATGAAGTGTAACACTCATTAGGGAAAGCATCTGGGAGAATACACAATTTATTAATGTTATTTTTGAAAAACACTGGGTTAAGTGAAAGAATTTAATAGGGTTTTAAATTTTTTTTTGGTTTTGTTTTTTCTCTCCACCTCTCCTTTGATGTCAGTCTAATGCACACACTCCAGTCTAGTAGGTGGCGGTAATGCACCTTTGAGATGAGTTGGCAACCGCCATTAAACCTGAAAGAAGAAGAAGAAGAAGAAGTGTAGCACTCCCATGCTGTAGGTGGAGCACTGCATCAAACTCCACGTGTGTCTCCACCACAGTATCTCCTTGAAGAAGACACACATGCACCTCTGTGACGGCTTTCCACTGACAGTCATTTACTTTTTTCCTGAACTCGGTGGTCCCTCCGTGCAGACAGCGCCGGGAGATGCCGCGGTATGAGCTGTGTGTGATCCTGAAGGCGATGCAGAGGCCGGAGACCGCGGCGGTGCTGCGGCGCACGGTGGAGACGCTGCTCGAGCGCGGCGCAGTGGTCAGGGCTCTGGAGAGCCTCGGCGAGCGCAGGCTGCCCTACAAGATCTCCAAACACGACTGTCGCCACACGCACGGCGGATACTTCTCCGTCGACTTCCACGCCTCGCCGAAGACCGTCAGCGAGCTGCTAGATCACCTGGAGCGGGACATTGACGTGCTGCGCCCCACAGTTTTAAAGAAAGACACTGAGCTTTCCCAGGCGCAGTGCTGTGGAGCACAAGCTGAGAAAGCAAAGAGTGCCACTTCCAGATAAACGTGAGAATCATTGTGTTTTCCTGCTCTGTTTTTACTTTGAGGGTAACGTTAGGGATGATGTGTTTAGAGAGTAAAAAAAGAAACTTAAGATAAAACAATGGACAGCATGTTCAAAATGAAGTAGTGCTGTCAAGCGATTAATCGCATACGAAATAAATGTTTTTGTTCACATAATATATGTGACCATGGACCACAAAACCAATCATGATGGTCATTAACTGAAAGCTGAATAAATATGCTTTCCATTGATGTATGGTTTGTTAGGATAGGACAATATTTGGCCGAGATATATCTATTTGAAAATGTGGAATCTGAGGGTGCAAAAAAATCAAAATATTGAGAAAATCGCCTTTAAAGTTGTCCAAATGAAGTTCTTAGCAATGCATATTACTAATCAAAAATGAAGTTTTGATATATTTATGGTAAGAAATTTACCAAATATATTCATGGAACATGATCTTTACTTAATATCCTAATAATTTT